TATATATATATATATTTGTAAATTTATATTCATTTATTTATATATTTATAAATAAGCTAATGATTTACCCGCTCACTCATTTCGATAATTTCCTCTCGTGCTAAGAAAGTGGCGTAATAGGCGGAATGAAGGGGGAGGGGGAAGACTGATAGCATTTGAAGGTAAGAAATAGTATTTTTAAAGCATTTTTTTTTAGAAGTAAAGATTACTAAAACTATTCTTATATTGAAAATTTTTAAATAGACTAATAAAAAGTGTTTTGGAACAGAAGACCAGCTAATTTTATGTGCGGAACCAGAAGAAATGGTTATATAAACTGTCGAAAAGACTGTCGAAAAAAAGGATTTTGAGGAGACTAAAAGCAGAGCTGATATTAACACCGTTCTAAGAAATGACAGGAATACCTGACGTTATTGCAGCTATTTTATTGATATTTCGTAGAATACAGTAAAATTTTTGAACTGGTCGTCCACCGAACCAACGTTTCTACAGTTCAGTTTTTGACCACGATACTAGTTTGAGACACCACTCAAGAACACTGAGATTTGTCTGTTAGACAGTGAGACATATTAACAGCATTGAAATGTAGACGCTGTTGTTGACCTCATAAACTGCAAAACTAAATCAAATAAACGATGGCAATTCGGAGTGTAACTGCTGTTATTTGTACGACCCGAATCAAAGATATATGGTTTTATTGTTGGCTTTTTAATTGTACTGTTTCTATGGTAGTATCTTAGCTATTCGTCGGAGCCTTATGGAGGTTCAACTTAAAACTTTTGATTAAGTTATCCTGTTTATTCGCCATTCCTGAATTCATTATGCTATCTATTTGAATTACAGTAACTGTTTGCTGAAGAGGAAGGAGCTTTAACTTTTCTGGCTGTATTGGTGATTCATGATTCTGAAATAAACTGAGTGGATTTTTGGGCTCCAACACTTGATAGGATGCTTCTGACGATAAGAGTGGTCAACAATTGTGAAGTTTGGTTGGAAGATTGGAAATGAGAACAAGGAATAGTACCACGTTGCTTTTTCACATTTTTCCTTTAACTTTCCGCTTCATTTTTTTCCTTTCCAGGCTTTGCCGTCAGGTTAAAAACAATTTTTTAAGTAAACAACAGAAAAGCTCCCAGACTGTGTCAAACTTCATAGGGTCTGAACGTCGCCCTAACCAACTAACCGTTTAATAACGGGAATAATTGAGTGAAAGACGTGAATTAAAACGCGCTCCGCCTACAAATACGGTTGACCATGTTTGGTCTATTTTTTAAAAGAAGAAAGGAGAGGAGGACTTTTTTTTTACAGTTGGTAAAGTCACCAACACCAACTTTGTCGTTGTCCTCGGCTTTGTCTTCATCATCACGATTACTATCATTACCGTTACAGTCGTTGTTTCATCGCTGTAAATTTGCTCTTTGAAGCATTTTTAAACTGCTTCTCGTAGGTATTGGAAAGTTTCATAAGACAATGAGAACGGAAGGTATAGGAGTTGAGGGGAAGGGGGGAGGGGTTGGGCGGCGGGGTGGGGTGAAAACAGAAAAAAGTAAGCAAACAAATGAATGGCACTAACAATTAAACTGCCAAAAAATTTTTTTCATTTTCTTTTTCTCTTAGATACAGTTACGTTTTTATAAGAAGTCAGTGGTAGAGGGAGAGTAGATCATTCTCTCTTAGTACACGTGTACAACTTTATGACAAGTGCACATTTTAAGGGTCTGTTTCAGCAGTTTTCAGCAGTAATCTAATCAGCACTGTTACTCTAATTGCAGAAGAAATTTCGTTGTTTTTTATTTTGTCTTCGTTCCTTTTTGTTGTTATTATTGTTGCTCTGCGCTGGTACTGCGAGTTTGATCTAACAAATCTTCTCAGTTTCATTCCCCAAAAAAATTTTTTTATACGTTTTTTTACTGGTTTTGTAAGGTAGTGGAAACGAAGTCTGCTTTCAAATTTTGTTAGCGAAAGGAAAAAGGGCTGGTCTTAACCCAAGGGAAGCACGGTTAAGTAACAGAGAGTGACAGGAAGAAGGTTTGAAGAGAATAATCGGTATGTGAAAAGTGGTATATATTGTTGAGTAACTTTCGATTTTGCTATTTAACCTATTTCCGCTAGATCAGTTGTTTATTTATTTATATTGCAGTTATGGCTTAATTTATATCCTGAAGTATCCACCTGCACAAGTTTTTAACTCTTTCAACTATGTCTTTTTCGATATTTTCGTTGGTTTAAGCGCCTCTTACCTGACCGCAGCAATGATTTGTACGTTACTGCGATGAATGCCATCCAGATGAGTCTTTAATTTGGGATTAAGTGGACGTCATCTAACTTGACTAAATTATTCGTTCCATTTTCGCCTGCAAATCCAGCTTCTGGTCTACACCCTACAAACCTTCATTCCCATAGGCTAGCAAACTGCTTCTGAGTCATACGGTCTACTGCTGAATGAAATAATCTTTTTTAACTTTTGATAATTGTAAATTTGTTGTTTGAACTGTCATTGAGTAGTCTAACTTAAAGCCAGTTAAATTTAGTAATCCAGCAAGAAAGTCGACTATTAGTTGAAAGACGAATTGCATTCAATTCAAAGGATGGTTAGGCTGAGGTTTGTTCAGTAGCACTGTTGCTACCGTCATACCAGGGGCTGCATTATCGGGATTCAGCTTTATGAGGAGCTATCTTTTGAATTCACACGAGTCGATATCACTTTTATATATGATACAATATATTGTCGAAAGACGTGTAGTTAAAGGAGCTTTTAACTTGGAGTGGTGGATACTTCAGGATACAACTTAAGTTAAAAGTTTATTGAAAATAAGCAAAGAGTTGATCCAGTGGGAGTCTATAATGCATGCCTCTTCTACGCTTGCAATAGTCAGGACTTTCAATGTCGTCTAATTAAGCTTTTACCACTTTATTAGTGAGTGTGTTTATTTTGTGGTGTTCATCTGACTTTACATTTTCTTTTTTTTTTTTTGTGCGGTCTAGCTGCAATAACTAATTTTGCAGTTTGAAACTTATTAGGATGGAATCGTGAAAAATTGTACCAGTTTTTCTTCCTTCTGGAATTGAACGTCGGCATTTTTTGGTATCTCCAATATGTTGATGTTGATCAAAGATGAAAAATTTCCATTCTCATTGCTTAAATACTATCCGTTCTTTCTTTTTACTTTGCATTTGAAATTATACCTTTAAAATGTAGACTGAATAACTGCAAGAATAATCTGCACTGTCTTAATGCAAATTTTATTTTTTGCTTTGCTTTTTTTTTTTTTTTTGTATGAACAGGGTAGAGAAAAATTTTGTGTGTACAAAAGTTTTTCAATTCCTGCTTTGTATGTAACTAACCTCTAGAAGTGGAATTAAGAACTGAAATCACCCTGACTAGAGAAGATAGTTTTTAGGCAGTTTTCTTGGCAGCGATTGGATCTTTATAGTTAACTTTTTTAATTACTTTTACTTACCTATAACAACAAAAAAAATTGAATTAAAATTTTCTTCAGTATCGATCCTTCCAAAAATTTGTTGTGCCGTTTGGATTTGCTTGATAGTTTTAGGACACCAAATGATGAGCATACATTTTTTTTTCCCAAGACGCTTACCCATTTCTGCTAAATGTTGTTGTTCTTGTTGTCATAAAAACGTCAAAGATGCGCGTCTGTAAACGTTTTTTACTTATTAGACCGTTATTTTTCAGTGATGCTGACCTTATCCATTCTTGGTCTCATTGCGGCGGTTGTAATTGCTGAACACGGAGATCCACTTAGTGATAAGGATCATCTTGGAAAAGTCAGTTATACAATTTAATTGTCATCTTAAGGACTGGAAAAGTGCAGTTAATAAATTTAGTTAAGTATTGCGTTTTGTCTTCTGTGTCACGTAAAGATTATAACTCCTAGGTAGCAATTATTGAATTTTGGGAAGGGCGAAACAAGACATTGATGTACTGTCTAGAACTAATATTAAAGTTGTCGAATAGTAAGGTCCATTAATATTTTTCTGCAGAGGGAACGAGTGATGTATTGTGGTGTTTTTGTGTGGATCTTAATTGGCCCTTGTAACAGTTTTTTCTTTAGCTCTTTGTTTTTAAACATGTTGCATGTTGTTTTGGAAGCATTTTTACCAGTCGATGCCATTTGATTTCAGGGTGAACATGACAAAAAATATGACCACGATGCTTTTTTGGGTAAAGATACAGCTGCAGAATACGATGATTTAACACCTGAAAAGAGTAAAGAACGACTAGCGTAAGTTTCTGTCTAACGTAAAAGAGGTTAACAGTATTGTTTTTATTAGTCGTTGCCAAGGATTTTAAAATATTAAGAATTTATGAGTATTTTTTTCGTAACATCTACTAGTCTGACTTTTTGGCCTGCATCTTATTTTTCAAGAAGCCAAGTGTAACTAACCTTTTTGAAAGTGCTATTTTTAGCAAACTGGTACCGAAAATGGACAGCAATAACGACGGTTTTGTTGAAGAGGGTGAATTAAAAGACCATATTAACTTTATGCAAAAACGCTACGTAAACAATGATGTCGAACGGACATGGAAGAACTATAATGCTGAAAAAGTTAAGGATGGGAAAATAACTTGGCAAGATTATAGGTGGGTTAGTGAAGCGACAGAGTTTTTCTGAGAAGGAATAATTTTTTGACTAATTTTGGCTGTCACTGTAATAGAATAAGAAGAAGCTTAGCAGCTTTTCAGATTTCTTGTTTATAACTGCCTTCTTGGTTATTACATGTCCTGCTTTTCACAGCACCATGTTTAGGCAAATGGTTTATGGCACTACTGATGATTCTTCTTTATCACCAGAGTATGTAAAAATGGTAGCTCGTGATGAGAAACGTTGGAAAGCTGCTGATTATGATTCAAACGGGTTTCTGGATCGTACCGAATATGGTTGCTTTATGCATCCAGAAGACTGTGACCACATGCGTGATGTTGTTGTTGCTGTAAGTTACTTAAAGTTCCAGTCTGGCTAAGCTGGCTTATTCAACTAATTTTTTAGTTACTATTAGAATTCTTATTAATTTTTTCATTTTAAGGAAACCATTGAAGACATCGACAAGAACAAGGATGGCTTTGTTGATTTGGATGAATATATTGGTCAGAACAGCTATTGTTGTCTTATTGGGGGCAGTTCAAAGTTTATTGGAAAAGTTTACTTTTACTTGATAAACTGTTTGTCATCTTTTTTAAGGAGATATGTACAGGCCTGATGATTATCCCGAACTGAAAGGTAAAGAACCCGATTGGGTTGCCAGTGAACGTGAAATGTTCAAAGTTCATCGCGACAAGAATGGGGATGGCAAGCTTGATCAGGTTAATTGTCCTGGCGCGAACTCATCAAACAGTCGTGTGAAAAGTTTCTAAACTTTATTGCTTTAGGAAGAAATGAGAGATTGGATTATGCCAATTGGTTTTGACCACGCTGATGCTGAAGCGAAACATCTGATTGCCATTGCTGACGATAATAAGGTTTATCATTTACTCACTTTTGATTCTGTTTTGAATTTGTGTTTCACAGCTATAAATTTAGAACGTAAAATGTTATTGTAATACTTGTGCTCAGCAATCTTAGTAGGGTACAGTAGTGATAAGACGAAATTATGGATGGAGATGTTGGTGGGAACCAGTGGTATGCAAGTCAGTTCTAGTGAACAAATCTAATACTGGTTTAAACCTAATAGTTATTTGTTAGAAGAGATCTGAATTTGTTAATTCTGTTACTTTGGGAGAATTGAATGATTTATTTATAAAAAGTTTGACTCTGCTGTTTCTGTATAAAATAGCGTTTTATTGGCCTTTCCTGTCACCTGTTTTTCGCTTATCAGCTTCAAGATATTATAATGGTTCAAAAAACTGACGAACTATTGGATTCTTGCTGGAAAGTAGAAACATTCTGGATAAAAATTGATATTTGGTTTGTGATGGCTCTTGGTCATGTCTTCCAAGATTAACTAAAGTTGAGTTGCACCACTGCAAATCCTAGTCTTGTGCAAAAATTTTTACTCAGTCATTTGGGCACTGTGGCATACAAAAGAAGCTGCACATACTGCTTAAGTTTCAAAAGCAGGTAATTGCGCACGAGTAGTCGATAACCATTCCGTGATTGCAGTTCGGTTTACCCACACTTCTTAGGGCTGTTTTTCGAGTTTCTATTTATTTTTTTCTTCCACTAAAAATTTCGATTAAGCTATAGTTTTATTTCAAAAGTGAAAGTTATGAAACGATGACGTTTTTATACATTTTTTAACCTTACTGATATATTTACAAGCTTTCTGGTTCTTCAATTTCTTCCTCGTTTCTAGGACGGCAAATTGTCGACAGAAGAAATACTGAACCACTACGATACGTTTGTTGGATCTCAAGCAACAGATTATGGCGAGCAACTTCAGAAACACGATCCAGCAGAGTTGTGAAAAAGAGGAAACAGTACAGTGGAATATTTTTTTAATTACTGGCAACAGTCAATAAAAGTTCTTAGGGTTCTTATTACATTTTTCTGATATAGTGTTCACTTTCCTTCTGATTTTCGCGTTTTGAAAACTTACACATGCAGTTTATTTTACGCGAAGTTGTTTTACAGTTGTTACTTTTTATCTTTTATTTTCCCACACTCTTCTGTTTAATTCGGTTATGCAAACTGCTGAGTGTACTTAAAATGCATAATTGTTTCACAGTATACTAATTTACATATCTGTTTTGCTGGTCTTTACTCGATCTTTTCACGCCAATTACGGTTCTGTTGCATTTAAGTGTTTTTTTTCTTTTGCACGATATTGTCGGATAAACTTCTTAGAAGTATTTAAATAAAATTTCCAAGTTTGTTCTTCATTCGTGAACTATTTAGAACGTGAGAAATTTTGGAGTAAAAAGGTCATAACAAAATCAAAAAACTATGTAACAATGTGCTGTGCTGTAATAACTTCTGTTCTGTTTAGCTAGCTATTTTGGAAGTAGGTGAACAGTCCCCTACTCTTAATTGCTGTACGGGCTGTACGGTGGAAGAGTTTATTAAGTGGCAGACGTTTATTGGATAGTACTTTGTTCTTAGACATAGTTTTTCTGAACGAAGTGCTTTGGTTTTTGCAACTTTATCACCGAGTAAGAGGGGAAAAAAACGGCTCCAGCGATTTTCCAGTAAAGGCTGAAGTTCTGGGATACTTTCCGAACTTACAGAAAAGGGTTATAGCAAATTTTCAGCAAGAAGTCGGGTCAATTTTGATAGTGGAAGTGATTTGAAAGATTTGAACAGCAACCAAATAAACAGTGGACGTTCAGACTGAAATGGTTAGTTGCACGACTGAATCAAATAGAAAGACGGGAGCAAAACAGCTTTGGTAATAGGAACAGTTTGGCGGACTAGAGGAATGATCTGAAAATTAAACAAGATTTGGAGATCTATGCAGGCAGTTAACGCATGACAGTAAAGACGCGTGCTTCTTAACAACTGTATTTAGCGAAATCCAAGTCTAATTAATAAAGTTATGCAAAGCTGTGGTCGGTCAAGAGAACTCCTTTACTCTTGTGTCCTGCTGGTCAACGCTTATCACGTTGAATTAAAATTTCTGAGCAAACAATAGGTTCTTCTGTACTCTTCCTTGCAAAAGTTTATACAGTGAAACTTCAGCTTGGATACCTTTTGCCTAAATGATGTTAAAGCAGTTTATTCAAATTATTTTAGGGCGTTTAACGAAGCTACCGGGGGCAGTTGAACTTTTGGTTTTATTCTAATGGCGCTTAAAATCACGGAATTTCAAACTGGCGCATTAGTACCTTTTGACAAACCAAAAAAGTTGGTCTACTTCTGGTTGCTGATTCTTTGTACTATATGGTGAGTAGAGTAAACAAATTTAGAGTGAATTGTTTCGCAAAAATTGTAAACGCTCCAATATGATTTATCCTGAAACTTAAATTTTTGCAGTTTTTGAATGCTGTATAAAACAACAGCAAGGGAAACTTCCTATTTAAGATAGTGGGATGTCCTTGGTCAAAAAATTGTTCTCCTTCGCTGCTGAAAGTTATTGGTGTTAGAAACGTTCGTTTTTGAAATTACATTTTTTGTACTAGAAATTTTTGAACGAAAGTGACTTATTGATTAATTAAAACCATAACCAACTCGTCAATTAATTGTAATATAACTAGGAAAAAGCATTTCTTACTGCTTAACAGTACCACTGCTGGAGAAAGACAATCAAAGGCTAGAGAAAAGATTTTTTTGTTGAAATAAAGAAAAAACTTATCAAGGTGGAAAACAATGAAAATAAAGATTTATTCTGCTTTAACTACCACCTAGTCGAAAACAAAAAAAAGAAAAATTTATTTCGCTTTTTCTTCTGCTGCCCGCTAGAACTTGCTGGAAACTTGTAGGACAGTTAAAACCTTGAAGTGTATTTTTCAGTTCAATTTTTCTTTGAAAGCAATGGTAATTTGATAATATAGCACTTAATCCTCTTTCCTCTCTTTTCTATTCAGGAAAACTTTTGAATTTGGAATATGCTGGTGCTGTTATTAGATCTTCACAAAATTGGCAGTGAGAAAGAGTGGAAGCCAGTAAAGCAAAGCGGCAGCGGAAAGACTGGGGAAAAAAAGCGGTTTTCAATAAATACAGATGAATTGTTGGATCGACTTTATCTGATATTGCATGATGATATCACATCAGTAGGCAATAAGGAATAGAGGCTAAACGAATAACCACTAAGAAAAAAAGATTTCAGTTGCATTTTCATTAACAAACGTCAGATCGTTCAAAACTGCGACCTATTTTCACGCTGCGAGGCGTCCACACATACACAGCACCCCGACGACGACGCATGCAATTTTTCAAGTATCACCAAAAATGTTCATTTGTGAAGCGATCCTGATTACCTGTTATTTTCTGACGTTTCCCGAAGTTCAGTGGGCTTTTGACGTTCCCTGTACACGTAAGTAGTGGTTTTGAAATAGAAAACTTTTAGCGCATTTGAAGATTCTGTAAAAATACTTTTTTAAATAAATAATGTAAAAGTCTTCTGCAATATACAGTTCATGAAATGTTTTGGCCTGCTGATGGAAGCAAATAAATGGAAATTTTCTGTATGTTTTCCATCTATATGCTTTTAGTTTCTTGAACAGACGCAGTAAGAAATTTGTTTGCCTCCTTTTTTTCAACGTGATTGTACATTTTTCTTTTTTTCTTTTCTGCTCTAACTTTCTTTGTTACAAAAACTTCACCTCATTTTTAAAAAATTAACGGATTTTTTGCACATAGACGGTACATATTGTATTACCTTTCTACTTTTTTAAAGCACTTTGAATACTCAGATTATTAACTATAAAACTGACAAACAAAGAGCTTTTTTTTCTTCTTCAATTAACAAAGTTTTACTTTCCCGTTTACTGCAATAGCAGAACCAAGACGATCAGTCATTGATTTCAGAAAAGTTGATCGGTAGCAAATGTATGTTTGACGAGGAGTGTTATGGCATGAATGTAGTATGTCAAGATCAGCGATGTACATGTCCAACAAATTTTGAAGAATACGATATTGACGCACAGACTACAGTATGTAGACTTGGTAGGTTAATTTTAAAACTTTACTGGATACTTTGTTTAAAATTACTGCCATGAACCTTATTTTTCTGGTGACTTCGTTAATCAGTTTTTATTTGCGAAACCTTGATAACGATGAAATCAGTCAGTCTTTTTAGCACCCAGTAAAATTGGTGATAATTGTCAGAGGGACTGTAAGCCGCCATTACTGTGCCGCGACAACAAATGTGAATGCTGGGGAGGTAGTATCATTAATGGCGCCTGTGTTGTACGTAAGTAATATCGCATTTAATGTTCTTCTAAAGCAGTTTTTGAATAAGATTTACCTTGAGGCTGACTGTCAGCCCAACAATTACTATTGATGATTGTCACATCAAAATGAAAAAAAATAGTTCTTTGATCTCTACAAATTGCTTTTAGAAAATTTTTCCCTTGGGTATCTTCCTTTTTTTTTTCATTATAAACATTTAGAAGTCTTTGCAGCTTTGATTTTGATAGTGCTTTGATCTTTTAAACGAGGATTTTACAGCTTGTCCACCCGGTAAACAGCTCTACGGAGTCGAATGTCAACGGGTGGCACATTGGGGACAGACCTGCGAGAAGGACAATCAGTGCGTCGATGTCTTCAATGCCTGTATCTCTGGAACCTGCCAGTGTGCGCCAGGCACGACGAGGGACGTGCTGCGACAAATTTGTTTTGCTTGTAATCTAGGCTGGAACAGTTGTTTTATTGTTCACTGCTATTTTTAAAACTTAATACTGTTAGTGTAATTTTTAAAAGTCTAGGCAAAAAACTTTTTGTGCGCGAAAGAAGCTCAAGATTTATTACTCAGAGCTTGCTAGGATTTCTTCCGTGTTTCAATTTTTCAGTCTGCCCGGACGGCACTCTCCCATCTCAGACATGTCGGAGATTGTTTATAAATGACGTCGATATGATGGAAAATGCTGCATCTACTGATAGCTGTCCGTTAGGATACCGTTGTGTCACTTACGGAAGTCCATACGTTGGTCACTGCTGCAGACTTCGATGTCCTTATGGTGAACCAGATTTGAGGTTTTCTTTGAAAAATATGTGATGCTGCGAACAGTTAGAATTGATTAAAAAATTTTTTTGTTGCTTTTTTTCTTGTTTTTAATGAAGGATTTAAACCTGCAACCGGCAAAGAACACGTGCAGCAGCTATTTATATTCAAGCTTTGTTCAAGCTTATGATAGGCACAACACAGAACTTCTCGTGGAACTCTATCATTTCCTGTATTCCAAAAAAAATTTTTAGTAAATCTTGCGATATTGGAGCTCCAGAAGAACAACGGTGTCGACCATTGACGCACCACTGTTACACAGTAACAGAGCCAGGTTGGAAGTCAAGCCTATGTTGTCCAAAACCTTGTCGAGAACCAACTCCATTATATATCAATGATCAGTGCCTAAGCGTTGGACATCGAGATGACCCTTGTCAAATAGATCAGCAGGTAAAAACCTGTCCTGCTGATAAAAACAACTGTCTATTTTACAAGGCTATTTTACCAATGGTTTAAAACAATCTTAGTCTGATTATCACAGTTTAACTTGTAAATAACTTCCTTACAGTGCGAAGGTGGAGTAACAATGTTATGCCTCGCTGGTATTTGCCAGTGCAAAGTTGGATTTCATCCTGTAAGTGCTTCACGGTCTGTTATTTCAAATCAGGATTTATCAGTTGTTTTCTTACCTTATAATTAGAGCAAGAGGATTAAAATAACATTTTCATTTGTGCATTATTATGGTCAAATAAAACAAGTGCGTAAAGCAAATGTTTTTTTTCGATGAATATTTTTTTTTTTTGTAGAATAACGATGACCGATTTCAAACTTGCGAAAAAACTTGTAACCTTGATGAAATTTCTGTAATGGATCGTTGTGTCAAGCGTGTCAATCTTGGGAGTCGATGTGTAACCAGTAAACAATGCCCCAACTTTTCAGAATGTCGGTTTGGAACTTGTCAGTGTCTTTGCGGATTCAAACAGGTGTGTTTAATCCTTCTTTTGTTTGTTCTATTTTATACTTTACTTTTTCTCAAAAAAAATGTTTACAGTGTTTGTTCCAACTGGAAATATGTCTTAATTTCCAGTTTATCCCACTTCTTTTTTAAAAGTTTGCTGGATAGAACAGTAAAAAAACAAGATGGGATTTTGGAAGGACTACCGAATAAAAAAAGATTACTAAACACTGAAGTTTTCCTGGTCGATTGTCTTTTTTAGAGGAAATATTTTACTGTCATTACTCCCTCTCTTCTTACCAGATCGCCTTCCCTATTCAATCCATATTCTTTATTGTCAACGCTCACTAGTATTCCTGCTTTCCGTTTTGTTAGGCTAAGAATGAAAAATAAGATAACAATTTTTTTACTGAAGTTTTATCGAAAAACCGAATAGTCTTGATAATAGCATTGATTGCCCTTAATGCACTCTCACAATTCATAAAAACATTTGGAATTAGCTTAAATCTTTAAACTCTGTAACTGCCCTCTAGAACCTCTAGCGCCATCAAAACTTTTACTTATCTACCTTGGGCCCTTCACCACTCTCTGGCGAATGGCAAGAGGAGAAGAGTGATATCCCCGAAATCCGAACTTGGGTATTCAGCTGATGACACAATGTAATAAACATACGTTTTTATGATATTTGCAACTGTTAAAAATTGGCCTCTGACATTGTTTTTTTAACTATTTTAGTAGGGTGGAAATAAATACTAATTTTTCTATTTGTTAGACTTTTATAACACGAATTCCTTTGTCATGACAACAATTTATCGTAGAGAGCGGCTGACTGAAAGTTAAAAATGGTATTATATCAGGTGACAGTAGGGAGGAAGCTTGGAGATAATGTTGAAGGAAGCTTTTAAGTATTTAGTTTTATCGTAAATGACTTGGAAAAATCAAAAGAGGAAACCCCTAAAAGAACTGACTGTTTCTACGGTCACAAGTATTTGCAGAAAAAATAATTACTTTACTGTTATGTTATTTTAAAAAATTTGTTTATTTTTTGCAGTGGATTATTTTGTACTACTTCTCACGCTTGTTATTTACTGTAATTTGTAATTAAGTATTTTTATCTATGTTAATAAGTTATAATGACGTTAGGAAAAATGTCAGAAAAAAATTTTGCCATGAAAGTTTGGCTTTTCTTTTTCAGGATTCATTAATTGGTGCTCGATGTACAAATCCAGACGATCCCTTTAGTTTAAATGCAATATTGTCGGGGGTTGAACAGGTCTTTGGTGGTAAGGGAAGGTCAGCCTCAAAAAGATCTCTATAATTTTTACAAACTCCTCAGTAATTATTAATAAATCTTTTTATATACGTTGATTTATCCGCTCTTGAAGCCTTATTTGTAAGTATCATAGTAGAAAGATAGTTAGTATAAACTGATTATGTAAATTGCTTGCTCCTTTAGCAGAGAAGTTCTCAGGGCTGTAGCTTTGAACGAATATTGTTCATATTATTCACCAACGGAAATAAATTTTTCAAAGTGTGCATCTTGATTATAAAGATGAACTTGGCAATAAATATCTTTTTTTTGATGTGCTTAAACAAATAAGCTTTTAATCTACTGTACTTCCATATACTGGATACCCTTTGAAAAAGTGGCGTCATTTTTTTGCCTGCCCTTCTATGGCTGATTGCTAAGAGTTCTACCGTTATTGTTGAAACTGTTTACCTGGTGGGACTGCTGTTTAAAAACTGTTTTCCCTTGTCGCATTTTGGTATTTCTTAAGTCACATGGACCGGGTAACGTTTACTGTTATGATAAGAGATGTGCTTTTCAAGCCAACAGCCGATCTTTTCTCTGAGTCAGCGGTAATCACTGATCAACGAAGAAAGCTTCATTTTTTAGATACCCTTGACCATAACACCGTTTTGATAATTTAAAATACAGCATAACTTTGCTACTGCAGCCAATGCTGGTTGTTGTACAGTAAGACCCTGTAATCTCGGACTTGTTGCTGTACAAGGGATTCTACGCCTTGCCGTTGATGCACTACAACGAATTGACTGTTTCAGCTCTAAACGTGAAATTTGTGTCAAGAAGTTGGTGGTCGTTTTTGTTTCGTTTAGAATTCAGGGCGACGACTTTTCGTGTTTGATGAAATAACTCGGCCTCTCACATTATCTCCGAAACTATTTGATAGGTTTGTGAGAAGGAACCGCCTGTTATGGAAATTATTGGCTGGAAAGTTATAGAGACTTCACAAATCCAAAATTGTACCGTCAGCTGTTGGAAATTGTTTGCTGATGTCAAAGTTGATTCCTTTTCTATTATTTAAACCTTAAGCACTCGTCAACCTTCAATACTTTTGAGAACAGTGAAACAGCAGCGTTTTCCGATAGTTGTTCCTGAAGCAAAAAAGAAATTTGTAGTTGATCTTAGTAAATTGCCGTTCTTTTTGCTTGCACTCAAGGGCTGCTAAAATATAGGCGCTCTGAAGCTTTTTATGAAGTCCCCGACTGTTTTGTCTCTTCAAATTTCTACTCTTTCATTTATTCTTCTTACTGCATAAAAATTTGCACGTTAAAATTATTGAACTGATTTCCACCGCTGTTCTTCGTATTATTTACTTGATTTAAGCTGTCTGCGAATGTTGCAGAATTGCCTAAGAGCAAAGCTGAGGGAATAAATGGCAGTTGGAGGCATGGAAAAACAATTCAACTCATTTTTGGTCAACTGTTTCCTACTATTAAAAAAATAAATCGAAAGAGCTTTTAAGTATCTAGTTTTAGTTTCAGGGGTTTTTTTGAAAGGAGTTGATTGCACTGTCTGATAATGATGCTGTATTATAAGTTGTGCGCTGGATTAGTGAAGGTATTTGCAATTTGGTCTTTGGCAGTTCCTGTTCATTTTTTAGGATCTTCTTTCGAACATTAACTTTGGCTGAAAAGCTGTTTTAGCTCTGAACACGGCTTCACTAAATGTGTTTCAGTTTGAACTTCAGCTGGTGGACACAGTTTTGAGTACAACAGTGATCACGATCAACTGATTCATTTATTAAATTATCAACTAGTATTCTTTTCTTTTTTCTTCCTTAATACCGCCAGAACGTCTATCAACAAAGATCGTTTATTGAGTCGAAAGCATTAGTCATTAGTTTACGCAGTATAAATCAATCAGAGAATATTTCCCGATAAAAAAAGAAAATTACAAAAGAACTATACAGATAGTTTATCTTTCCTCTTTAAACCATAATTAACGTTTTCAAATCTCTTGTAAAATTCCTTGTGGAGGTAGCATAAATGAGTTCTTTTTTACGTTCTGCCCATCATTTTTAAAAGAAAAAAACGCTCTAAGCATTTACGCTTTCGTTTATCAGTGAGAAAAGTTGCGGAACAGTAAAAATTTCTGTGACAAGTATTACAACGAAAGGACTCTTCTGAAATGTCTGCCCGACTTCACAGAAAAAAAAAAAAACGCTGCATAATGAGGTAGAAATACGACAGCGTAAACTTAATGGTTATCTAAAAATGATAATAACAAAAACAACAATAACAAAGAAAGTAATAACACCTTATATCAGTAAATATCAAAATACTAAGCATATTCAATTTATTATAACAATTCAATGCCCTGAAAGTGACGCTTCAAGTACAGTGTCGAAGCTGATGCACAATGGCTAAAGTTTTTGCAACAATATTATCAATAAAACCTCCAAAATCGTCAATGAATTTCAGGATTCAATCATTTTTTTGACTACACATTCTCAGTTCCTTTTCAGAAGAGGTCTTTTCAGCTTGTATAAACAAAGCGTCGTTTGCTCTTTTCATTTT